TAGTCCTCGAAGAACTCACAACGCTCCTCTCCCACACGAGGGCCATCAAAGCACCTCCAATGCTCACGTCCCGTTCGATGAACCTCAAGCCATGTACTATACCCTCGTCCCAGCCGCCGCCGATGACATGTTCGCTCCGAACAGTAAGTCCACCCCCAGCCAGCATCCCCCGCTCCGGCCTTCTTATTGTCTAACATGCAAACAGCCCAATCAGGCTCAGCCAATGGTTAGCTCTCCTCGTCAACTTTTCCTCATTCCATGTTACCTTTTTCCCTTCCCCGAACATTCATCTGCCTTTCACTACTGCTGACTTCACCTTTCGCGCGTCTTCGCGTCGGATTGTTTCTTTTTTTTTTTCTTTTTTTGGTGACCGAAAAGTCAATAACCCAAAGTCAACGGAATACAATCTGACACCCTGGCAGGTACCCACGTCGTGATTCAAACTCCGTCCCATCCACGCTTGAGTAAGTGAATCAGATCCTCTCTCCCCTCTTCCCCGCCTTTCCTCATTCGTGCCAAAAGAGTTCAGTGGTCGAGATGGATCTAACCTCACCCGGACAGGATTCGCTTCCGAGATTCAGCGAGCTCAAGTAGCCACACAGGGTCGCGACCACGACCCCGAGGGCATCGGGTCGACGGACCACCTCCTCGACGGACTTCGATTGAATCCGGTCGACCCCAACTTCACTCCACCCGTGTTTGCCAACAGACCTTCCACTGTCAAAAACGATGTTACTGCGGCCGCTGTCAAGAAGCCGTCTGTTGTCAACCGTCTGCGCTCAATGGTCTCGATGTCTCTCCTTCCAGGTACCCGCAGCGGTGGTGGCATGAGCAACAGCCGCACCACGCCTAACCTTCGACAATCGAAGAGTACCTATCACTTCGGCACCCACAAGCAACAGCAATACGAGAGGATCAGCGAGGAGAACGAGACTAATGACGGCAGCGACGACGGCACCGATGACGGCTCTCTGGCGCCGGACGCCCTGGCAAACCACATTTCCAAACATCGACTAATGACCGAAGCCAAGCTCTCCACCCCGCATGCCGAACCTGCCCCGTTTCCCCCATGGAATGCGAGCGGACTGCAGCCTTCTGGCCGTGGCGACGTCTATCGATCGAATTCTGCCGAGGAGACCGCGACCGGTGCCAGCACCGGTACCACAAGTGCCGAGGAAGCCGAACGCCTGGTCAAGGAACAGAAGAAGGCGAACCGTAAGGCCCGAATGTATCACAAGGAGACAGGTGAGGCGGCTGGTGAGATTGACATGGTAAGTCAATTGCGCCTGGTTTACATCTCCCCCATGCGTCGTTTGAATCGATCGCGATGCTGACTTTTTTGGGGATGTCTAGACTATTGAGGTGGCACGTGATGATATTGAGACTGATTGTGTTGAGACTGGTCAGGCTGCTTCCGCCGCTCAAGTCGACCATCTCTTCCCGCCCTGGGAGACTCGATACTCGCGAGACAAAAAGGTCAGCGGTGTTAAGAAAGCCTGGCTGAAGCTTGAGGCATGGGGGAAAAAATTCAATCGCAAGTGAAGGGGCGACTTGGCTCAAGATTGCTTGCTGCTGGCGAAATCGAGGTTGGATGTGCAAGGAGCTTGGATGCGTGACGACAGATGATTGGGGACTTGCCAAACATTAGATGCGAGGGGCGGCTGTGTTGTAGTAAGTCGATCGAGCCATTGCCCTTGTCGGAATACGTGCTGACTTTTCAGATGTTGCAGTTTTTTTCCTTTTTTTTCCTTTTTCTTTTTGCCTCATCCCCATTCAGATTGCAACCATAGATCAGCCATTCTCCAGCTCGCCCGGAGAGAGAGGAAGGAAGACCTGAGATATGAAGGGAGAGTTGGGTTCCACAGCACCGAATACACACACCATTGCTGCTTCTAGGTAGTCAGCACATATTGATCGAGGGATAAGGGTTTTTTCGCGCATGGGAACGGGTGCGAGCGAGTACTTGCTTTTGAGTTTTCTTTTCTTTCCCCCCGCTTTTTTTCTGGTCATCGTGCGACAGACAGAGTGGTGGCAGTTTCTCCGCCTTCACCTTCCATGGCTGGGTGACTTTTTTACTTTCCATACACAGCGGCGGGATCTTTATGTTGTCTGTGTTTTCTCTCCGCTTTTTTTTTCCTTGACGCAGTATGACCCCAGGCCTGTCTGTGGAATCGCGCATTACAGACGGCAAGTACATAGGTACATCAGGACAATGCAAAGATGATAAAACAACATAACTGTTCCCTTTACAACTTGGGATGTGTATATGTGTGTCCTTGGTATTGCTCCCTCACCTTGACGTGATATAGAGTACTGATGTTTTGCTGAGGGTTTGTGGTATAGCTTATGGATAATGATAGGAAGAGACATGAGAGAAGGCAAAGCAAAGAAAACAAGGAAAGAAAGGAAAGACGCTGCCACGATGCAGAAAAGATATGTAGATGACATAAGCTGCCAATCTGCTGGAATGCAGCAGTGTCCTACAAAGGAGAGGATGAAAGGAGCCTGTACGAAAGTCCAAGAAGACAGGAAAAGCATAAGAGCTTAAGCACAACAAAGGAGGAACAAAGCAAAGCAGAGCAGGCCAGCAGTATTCAAGGAACCATCTTCACCCTGCTGGACTTACTCTCCTGGAATATCACTCTTTTGATGCGAACTACCCACTTGGGGTACTGGGAAACTGTTCCATTGTTGGTACACGGCGTGTGATGATACACCCAATGCCAAAGGCAATGTCCATCCATGTCCCTATGTCCAGCCCTGCCGTATCATGCCCGACGCCCGCAATGCAATGCAATAATCAACACACCGAGTACACCGCCCACGCATCCCCTCCTCTAACCCGCTCGATCCACGCGATTCAACTTCCTCGACGTCAAGATCTGGCTCCTCGTGCGCTGTCCCCGAACCGGATACCCCATGGCATGCCTCCTCCCGCGATAACTGCCCATGTCCTTGAGGCGCGCAATATTGCTGCGCACCTCGCGGCGGAGGTCATTCTCGATCTTCATAGCGGTCAGGTCGGCGTTCAAGGCCAACACCGTCTTGGAGGGAAGGTCGCCGACTTTGGCGCCCGGGAAGATGGAGTGTTTGGCTAGCAGTCGGGAGGAGTGTTGTGTGCCAATTCCGTAGAAGCTTTCGAGACAGTGCTAAGGAGAGAAGGACGAAGTGTTAGAAGGTGCGGGCGTTGGAAAGGGAAGCTTCGATAGGGGAGGACAGCGGACGGACGTACCTTCAGCACCCGCGACTCGAGAAAGTTGACGTTGAAGATGAAGACCTGGGCGGGTTAGCAGAGGCGCAGATGAAGCAGCTGGGGATAGAAAGGGATAGGATAGGGCTGCAGCTGACCATGGTCACCAATTTGGCTGTCGATGCTTAAGGTCGGAGATGAAGGTTGCCTTGGTATTGTCGTCTCGAAAAGATTGAAGATGGAAGATTGAAGATTGAAGATTGCTCAGTGGATCCCCGATTAATCCGAGCCGAATCCGAGTCCGAGCTCAAACTCAATCACACCCACGTGACCGCTTCACTATAATCGACACCTGTACCTTAGCGTTCTGAAACGTGTGTCGATATCTGACGCTCTTATCCGCGGGTGTCTCCTCCTCTTCCTCCTCTCTTCTTCCACCAGGTCAACCCAACCACAATACTACAACACTACAACCACAACACCACCGACCATCCTCATCCTCAATTGACTCATCCTTCCTCACCATGTTTACCCTCCAACGCTTCATTGTATCGGCATTGCTGATCTTAGCTATCACCATCGCCTTCCTTTCCCAACCCGCCGAGGCCGTCAAGGGACCTAAGATCACCCACAAGGTCTACTTCGATGTCAGCCATGGCGATAAGCCCATGGGCCGCATTGTGATGGGATTGTACGGCAAGACCGTCCCCAAGACCGTGGAGAACTTCCGTGCCCTGGCTACAGGAGAGAAGGGATTCGGATACCAAGACTCGACCTTCCACCGTGTTATCAAGAGCTTCATGATCCAGGGCGGTGATTTCACCAAGGGCGATGGCACTGGCGGAAAGTCCAGTACGTATCTGCCGATATACATGGAGGGATATGTGCTAATAGAGGAACAGTTTACGGGGACCGCTTCGCAGACGAGAACTTCAAGCTCAAGCACTCCAAGGTCGGTCTCTTGTCCATGGCCAACGCTGGACCGGACACCAACGGCTCCCAATTCTTCATCACCACCTCCACCCCAGGGTAATTCCCCCTCCCCTGCCCCTCCCCCTTCCCAATGGCTCCAGCTGATCCTCCCACAGCCACCTCAACGGCAAGCATGTAGTGTTCGGCGAAGTTCTCGAGGGCTACGAGATCGTCCAGCAGATTGAGGACGTGCCCAAGGGCCCCGGCGACAAGCCCAAAGAGGCTGTAAAGATCACAAAGAGCGGCGAGCTCCCCGTGCCAGAAGAAGGTATCCACGTGGAACTCTAAACGCACCTCTTTTTCATCCCACCGCAGTGTCTCTTGTTGCTGCTGCTGGGCTCGCTCTTTGCTAGACTTGGCTGATTCCGTCCGCGCGCAGCTGAGTTCGGAGAGGCGGAATATAACGAAGGCGAGGGCGAGGACGACGATTCTACTGCTGCTTCTTCTTCTTCCTCGGCCGCCGCCGACAAGACCTCTGATGGTGTTCCCGTTGTGCCGTCCACGCCCGAGACGGAGGATGCCGTTGGCGAGTCTGGGTACAGCCTGTTGCAGATGGGCTTTTTCCTGGCCGTGATCGTGGCCTGCGTGCTGGTTTGGATGCGGGTCAATGGTAAGAGGACGAAGCGTTACGGGGAGAAAAGCATGGCGTGATTGGTTATCTGAATGCAGAATCCACGCCTGTTATTTGTTCGTAGAGTCCCTGCCATGGCTGCGCCTTGTGTTTCTCGACTTGATATTTCTAAAGAAAAAATATGGTGAGGGCACTGCCCCTCTATTCGTCCTTTTTCCGCTGCGTGATCATTGTGATTGGGGTTGGGGTGGGAAGTCGCAAGACCTTTTTTTGCATGATTTAAGTAAACTGGAAGGGTGGATTTACATCCTTCCCATCCCCCTCCCTCCTATCCTCCTCGCCCTCCTCTTCTCCCTCCTACGTACGAAGCAGTTCTTCACAATATCCCTTTCCGTTCCATCGACCGCGAAACGCCTGGACTGCCCTTCCACCAGCATATATCCTCCTCCCCTCCCCCTCTCATTCCCTCTCCTTATATCCACAGCACCCCTTTTTTTTCTCTTTTCTTAAGCGAAGCCTCTTGTTCTCCATGGGTATCTACTTGGTAATCGCCTACAAATAAGCGACCTAGCAATCCAGCTCTCCGCCGCATCATCACCTAATCAGCATCTTCCGTGCCTTCACTATCGAATCATCTGCGTTTGCTCAATCCAGCATAGCATGCATCTCTCTGCCGCGGCTGCATGCCCCTCTTTCTCTCTCTAGAGAAAGCTTGAATCGATACCAGAAACGGGCTCGACGCGAGCCGTTCCGTACCGGTAGGTTGTTTGCATATGCAAATGCAGATTGCAGTGCAGCCCGTCCGAGCGAGACGCTATTCTTGTTCGTCACTTCATCTCATCTCTGACGTTTTAGGGGTTCGGTCTTTTGCGGGTTTTCTTTTCTTTTGTGCTGTTTAGATATCTGATGTTTGCTATTGGATGTTTCACATCTTCATGTGAAGAATACTTTCCGGCATTCTTTTACTTCTTTCTCAAGATGGCTGGCTGTCAAGGCCTCCTTTTTTTTTTTTTCTTTTTTTCTTTTCTTGTGCCGTGGGAAAATGGGAAACTCCGTGAAATCATTCCTTAGTTACCCCGCGGGAAATGGTCCTTTTAACGAACAGCTTCCTTAACATCCCGCTCGGTGGTGGTATGTTACTTGCATGGCTGCCGAGGCTGACTGACGGACGGGTATCCAGATACCAAGACCCGATCCAAGGAGTGACAATCGAGATATCGAGGACCTGGAACGTATCGTTTTTTTTTTTTTTAATGTAAGGCGTGGCCTTGATTATCAGGGTCCAGTCCATCCCCGTTGCGAAAAACATATATCTTGCCCGTTGCACATGATCCGGAAGTGCAGCTTGGAGTGCGCGATGGATTTTTACTGGTATGGGCTACTTAAAGGTGCTTTCCCGGTCTGGGAAAAGAAAACAAGGCTTTGTAGCTTTGTTGATCAGATATCCTTTCTTCTTCTTGCTTACCTTGTTATTAACCCTGATGTGAATAAATACACACACACACACACACACACACATACGCACTTCTATCATCTTCACACTCGAATGTCCTTCCGCCTCCTTAATCACGACGCAGCTCATCACACCCGCCCTCCTCCTCGCCCTTCTCGTTGTTGTCTCCGGGCAGTCGCATCCAGACGCCGCTCCTCTCGAGAAACGTATCCCCGTTATCTTTCCCGGTCTCGCTGCCTCCTACGGCGCCCTGTCCGCCACAGCCCCCACTTCCAGTAGCGCAACGCTCGTGACCGGCAGCTGCGGCACCTATCCCGGGACGGAACGGCAATCCCCGGACCGGCTTCCCGCCAGACGTCTGCTTCGTCTCGACTTCCGCCGGTGGCTCAGCCGCCTGTGTCGCTAAAGCCGCTTGTAAGTCCTCCCTTTTCCGCTTTAAGTAGCAGCAACAACAGTAACAACGACAATAACAACAACAATAATAACAATAACAACAACAATAATAATAGTCTTCTCCTTCGCCCAGATTTATACACATACACATATACATCCTCTTATACATCTACCCACCCACTTAAAAGGCGACACCGCCTCTCCACTTCTACCTCCAGCCTCGTCCTCCCCTCCCCGCCCCAGTCGTCTATAGTACAAGCCCTTCAACGCTCTCCGCCTCCCCGCAAAGCACGCCCACCTCCCTTAAACCCGTCAACCCCGAACCCCCCGCGTTCATAATCGAGATCCCGACGACCTTCACAACGCTGGCCCCGCCGCCTAGGCCTGCAACGCCTTCTTCGGCGCTAAGTAAAGAATGATAGAGATGGTCTTGGGTTGAAGCGACTTTACTAGTTAGTTGGTTAGTTAATTCAGTTCAACTCAGCTGCTAAGCTAAGCTAAGCTATAAGCTAACTCGAAAGGGAAGCCGCGCTGTCCTATGCTATGCTACGCTTCTTAGAAAATATAAAATTGAAACCGAGATTTGAAAATGAGAATGTTTAATTTAATTCTGTTGATGGTTATTTATTGGTGTTGATGTTGATGTTGATAGATAAGATATGAGTGAATAAGTGAATGTGTAAGTAAGTCCTTCTTCTTTTTCTAAGCACGGGATATTTAGCGGGGTGGACGGGGGCTTAAGATAAAAGCTTGGCGCTTTCGCTTATATTTGTACGTGAATATATATAGAGACGTAGATGTAGAGGTAGACGTAGACGTAGACGTAGAGGTAGAGGTAGAGGTAGAGGTATAGGATTGGATTGATACGTATTGAATTGTATCGATATTAAGATGCGTAAAGAATGCTTGAAAGTGAATGTGAATATGGATTTTGAAGGGGATAAGATCGGGATAAGATCGGGATAAAATGATGGGAATGAGATCAAGAAGCGAAAAGAAGAGAGAGAAAAAAGAAAAGGTGTAGGTTTTAAAAAGCACATTATAGTTGACTTATGACTTAGTACTTATGACTTCACACTTAATGCTGAAGAGCCATTCAAAGCGGTTGTGAAGTGGATCGGTAGGTGAGTGAGTGGCTATGTGATAGCTGGGTATTTGAAGTGGAAGATAGGAGGTGGGAGATTCGTAGCTGGTAACTGTAGCTTGCGTTTGCGTCTCCCCGCTTGCTTACTTGCTTGCCTCTTGCTATCGACAGAGGCAAGATACCTCCTCTTATATAGTCAGATATATCCCATCTCATGCCGTTCTTGGAAGTTCTTGTATTAGTCTCGGTGAGCGAAGAACATCATTCCTTGGACCTCCGGCACCGCAGGACGAGTATGTACTGTTCGAGAGAATCAGGCGGCGAGGTACTTTCCCAATCTTAGGCACTAGCAGTCGACGTTGGGATAGAAAGGTCGGTGGTGTGACAGGCAGACTCTGTATCGGGATTCGGCGTTAGATACCACGCAGCTTCTACCCGTTCTTGTGCTTGGGAATCATATACACCGGCAGGTTTCACGGGAGACTTGCGACGAATTTCTAAGTATAAGCACCGTTCAGAGCAGCTCCGTCTCTTGTAGCTGCTGCTGGCTGCCAGCTTTCTGTTGAGAGAGGGCTGATGCTCTACTCTGCATGAACGGCGGACCTTAGCACTGGCTATCTTCTACTCAGGCGCTTAACTATCAAGTGATTGTAGTGCTTTTATAAAGGGACTAAGCGTCGAAGGTGATGCAAGATAGAATGTACAATCTTTAGCGTTCGGTTAAAACTTTGTTTGCTTGCTTTCGCTCAACCATCAAGTAAGTGTAGTGCTTATAAAGGGGACAACGCTTCGAGGGTAGTGCAAGATATACATACACGATCTTTCGCGTTCGGTCAGGACTTTGCTTGCTTCCTTGCTTGTTCATTGCTTTTTTATCTCTCCACCTCCTCTGTCTTCGAACCTCCACCAGCTGATCTCGGCCCAGCCTCGATTCACATCTCTCTAAGACACCCTATCGCTAGGTCTTCCCGCTTGCGAAGCGCACTCTGCCCTGTCTCTTCGGTTCTCCAACTTATACTAGGGTCTTCTCTCCCTGCGATCTATTCTACCGGTAAGGAAACGGCGCAGTTAAGAACAACCGCGCTGCCCCACCGCGAAATGTTTTCTAAGGCTATCTTGTGTGTAGCTCCTTAGCTTAGCAAGCGGACGGATGGATAGAAGTGTGCAAGAAATGACGGCACGTCTATCTTAACAGGCAATGACTTCTTGAAATTCTCACGTGACTGCTGTATTCTTCGGGAGGGTAGTTGGAGATGTAAATTGAGTTAAAGGTTCAGCGGCAGCTTCCTCCTGATAAGATCTCACGTGCTCTGCTTACCCCCTTCCTTCGGGCCATCCTCTCGCCGATCTAAAGATTGCGCTGCCTCTTGAGGAAGCCGGGAAGGTGAAGGGATCGGGTTGATGAGGCGGAGCTGCTACTTCTGAGCAGGAATACCGGTACCGGTACTGCGGGGCTGTATGGGGTTTGTCAGCAGAGAGTGGGGTTTGCCCGGGCGGTCAAGAGACGGCAAGCATATGATTGGCCGGGCTACAAGACCCGACAATCAACGACGAACTCACGTGATCGGACCTGCTGTGATTCGTACCGCGAACCCAGAAGAACAAAGAGAACAAAGGATCGGTAGGGAGCATATAACCTCACCTTACAGACCCGCCCGTCGGCCGCTAGCGTCTTGGACCCACTTGCCTCGTCCTTTTAAGCCCGCCCCGACACTGCAAGACTTCAGCATCTGACCGATACTACAACTTCGGTCTTCTACTCCTACTATCCACAACTTCGGTCTTTCACTCTTCACACCCACACTTTCGGTCTTCTACTCCTAATACTTGCATCGTTTCTACGACGCAGAGATTTGCTTTCAGAAGTCATGGAACTCAAGGTCTTTGTAACTTTGGGGTGATGATGATGATTGATGGTGGTGTAAGGTGCCCCCTTCTCCCAACTACACGTAGATCCGCAACTGACCGATAGCTAGCTAGCGACCACCCATTCATCCTCCGCTCCAACGTCTGCTCGACGTCCTCACTGACGTCGATGCATTGACCCCAGCCTCCGGAGCCTCGCATCCCAGCCGTGGTCGCGGCTAGTAGTTTACCCTGAGGCTCAAGTGTTTAAAGCCATGGCCGCGGCTGAGCAGCTCTGGCTCATTCTCCCTCTTATTCTCCCTCTCGATGTCCTCACTGACACGGGTTTCAGAGACACGGGGGAAGAAATTTAAAAGGTTTCTCGGAGTGTCAGTAAGTACTATTCTGCGAATCAGAGTCATCCTTTGTACGATCTACTGACATAGCATTCAAAGATCTCGCACGGGCGATTTGCTTTCAGAAAACATGGAACTCACGCTCTCGATGAACTTAGGAGGACGGGGATGATGGTGGTTGTAAGGTGCCCCCCTCCTTCAACTACAAGTACATCCGCAACTAACTGATAGATAGCGAGCGACTACCCACTCATCGCCCGTCCCAAGGTCTGCTCGGCGTCCTCACTGACGTCGAAGCATTGACTCAAGCGCTGAAGATGCTGCCGGTGCCCTTGCTACCGCATCCGGCCTACACATACCGGAATCGCGGACAATCAAGAGTCCGAGGTCTACAAGGCCTTGGCGGGGGCCCGGCAGCTCCTTCTCGTGGTCATTGCAAATGCCGTGGCATATGACGGGAAGAAACTTGTAAACTTTCTCACGGCCGGTGGTCTGGCCGTCGAAGGCCAGATCGAGGTGGACGACGACTTTGCAGATAAGTGTAAGTTATCCGCCCTTTGACATCGTTCGCTTACGACGCTAAGCAGAGATCAGTTTTGGAATGGAGAATAGAACTTAAAAGCATTTTGCTTTATAGCCAAGAGGACGAGGATACCTCGGACGATTGTAAGCTATCCGCCTTATAACATCGTTCGCTTGCTAACAACCATCTCGGGAGTCCAGGGTCGAAACGGCACGACGCTCAACGGAGCTCGTGTCACGGTCAAAGATATCCCTGGATACTTATCGCCCAAGGCCCTATGACCCTCTAGGTCCATCCCGGCGCGTACTTCGTAGCATAATGGAGATCGGTCCATTCACGCTACGCGTGCTATGAGGTACGCGCGGGAGAGGCGTATCGCACTACGATGATGGAGATAAAACTTTTGGAATGAAGAATAGAACTTAAACGCATTTCCTTGCGTCGGACTCTTCGACCCGAATATAGAGGTGGCAGTAGTAAGCGCTGCAGAGGCTCTAGCGGCAGCGGTGCCAGCTCTCGCAGGGCGGCGGTCTCTCGGACCACAGGCTACCAGAGCCGCTGCCGCTGCCTTGCCGCTGCCACCTCTATTACCAAGCTCAGCTCAAGCTTTTGGAATGAAGAATAGAACTTATACGCATTTCCTTGCGTCGGGTCTTTGAGACTCAGACATGAGGGTGGCAGTGGTAGCAGCGGCGGAAGCGCCAGCCCCTCGGACCACAGGCTGTCAGAGTCACTGCAACCACGGTAGCCTCTGCCGCTGCCGCTGCCCCCTCTCCCAAAGTCCAATCTTGAGGAGACAATCAAACTCTTCTCTCTCCGTGGCAGTGGCCGGTAATGAATGGTCCTTACTGACCGACCGGCTACTTACTTGCAAGTCCTCACTGACTGCTTATACCGTACCAGGTCTGGATCCGCGTCACAGAGAAGGCACAGGGGGGTTTTGAGTGGGTTGTAAGTCCTTTTCTCCCTTTTCCCTTTTGCAGATCCTCTCTTTTATAAAATACCGTTGGGGTCGGGGAGGGAAATTTCCCTTTTTTTTTTCTTCTTTTTATTATTCGCCGCTAACCATCTCGTCGGTATCTTTTCTGTAGTTATTGATTATGCACATGCCTATGCACATGCTCATTCAGGCCTTCTTTTCTGCGACTTCGACTTCAACTTCGATGCTGAGAAGGAGGAGGAGGAGGAGGA